TGCGGTGGCCGCGCTGTCCGAGCCGAGTGCCTGGCGGGAGGGCGTGGACTGCGCTCTGCCTCCTGCCCCGCCCCGGCCTGGGAGGAGGACTGCCAGAGCCCGCCCTGCCGGCGGGGCCAGTTCCCGGGTTTGAAGGCCGGGACTCTGATGCCAGCTGAAGGGATCGCGGCTTTACGTTGTCCTCAGGCGAGCTGGCAGGCCTGGAGAAAGGAGGAAGCAGAAACCTCTGCCGCAGGGTGAGCACGGAAAGCACGGGCTGGGCACGGGGGACACTGCCCTGGAGGGTTCAGGGCTGTGCGGGTTCGCAACGTGGGAAGCACAGGCAAATCACCCTTCGTCTCCCTTCGTCTGTAAAGTGGAGCTGTCGAGGAAGAAATATGACAACTGTTTTGCAGCCTTTTAAGACGGTAATTATGGAGTCTCAAGCAAAATTGGAACCGCTTACCATTAGTGTTATATTCAAAAGCAAGTTATATGCCGGCGCCCTGACTCACGCCTGTAATCCCAACACTTTGGGAGGTAGAGGTGGGAGGATCACTTGAAGCCAGGAGTTCAAGACCAGCCTGGCCAGCATAGCAAGACCCTCCCCCATCTCTTTTTTGTTTGTTTGCTTATCTTTGAGGACTTTGAATATTGGACTCCAGAGACCCCATCTCTTGAAAATAAAGTTATAAATTGCACAACATAATTACATATTGCGCGAATATATGTCAGAATGAAAAAACAAGCCACAGATATTTGCAAAAGAGGTAATCTGATAAAGGAGTGATATGCAAAATATACCAAAAAGAAAACCTCTTAAAATGCAACAATAAGAAAATGTGTAACCTGGTTAAAAGTAAGCAAAAGACCTGGACACCTCAACATACATGCGCCTATCTCAACTTTATAGGTTGTTAGTAATTGCAAATTTTAAAAAAATACTGAGATACTATTACACATTTATTAGAACGACTGAAATCCAAAACACTGATAACAGCAAATGCTGTTGAGTATTTGGAATACCAGAAATTCATTCCTAGTGGAAATGCAAAATATTACAGCCACTTTGGAAGACAGTTTGGCAATTTCTTACAAAGCTAAAGTCTTATGAAATGATTCCACAATTGCTCGTCTTGGTATTTACCAAAACAAGTGAAAGCTGATGTCTATACAAACACCTGTACACGAATGTTTAAAACAGCTTTATTCATATAATTGCCAAAACTCAAAGGCAACCAAGATGTCCATTAGATGAATGAATAAAAAAGCGGTAGTATGTACATAGAGTGGAATATTATTCAGTGCTAAAAAGAAATGAACTATCAAGCCACAAAAAGACATGGAGCAATCTTAAATAAATACCTCTAAGTGAAAAAAGCCAATCTGAGAAGACTACATAATGTATGATTCCAAGTATATGACATTCTGGAAAAGGCAAAACTATGAAGACAGCAAAAACAGATTCGTTCCCCGGAGTTTGCAGAAAGGAAAGGATAAATAGGTGGAAAACAGGAAGTTTAGGGCAGCGTAATCTGATATTATAATGGTGGGTTCGTACATTTATCAAATATATCTGGAATATGCAACACAAAGAGTGAAACCTAACAAACTTGACTTGTTGATACTACTATGATGGGTACATGTCATTATACTCCCATATCTGTCAAATGTATCTAGAATGTACAACACAAGGAGTGAAGCCTAACATGAACTCAGGTTTCATTGATAATGATTAATCTATGCTCATCCCTTGCAACAAATGTACCACACTGATGCAGGATGTTGATGGTAAGGGAGGCTGTGAAGGACAAGTTGGGTATGGGAGGGAATAACATTCTTTCTGCTCAATCTTGCTGGAAAACTAAAACAGCTCTAAGAAAGAGTCTCAGGTTTTTTTTTAGTTGTCTCATCTGTCACCCAGGCTGGAGTACAGTGGCATCATCACAGCTCACTACAGCTTCGACCTCCTGGGCTCAAGTGTTACTCCTGCCTCAGCCTCCCAAGTAGCTGGGACTACAGGCATGCACCACCACACTTGGCTGATTTTTATTTTATTTTTTTATTTGTGGAGAGACAAAGTCTCACTGTTGTTTAGGCTGATCTTGAATTCCTGGACATAAGCCGTCCTCCTGCCTTGACCTCCCAAAGCACTGGCATTATAGGTGTGAGCCACCATGCCTAGCCAACTATTAATTATTTTTATAAGATGTATACATATGAAAAAAGAGGAGGATTCATTCCACAACCTTTTTATCTACTGTACTACAAGCAGTAGTACAGTACTACAAGCAATAGTATCTGGTGGTAGCCACAGGTGATTAAAAAAAGAAAAAATATTCATTCCTCCAATAAATATTTACACAGTACCGGTTCTAGGTACTAAAGACTCAGTTGTGAACTAAACACAAAAGTCTCTAGGCTCTTTCCCTAGAGGTTACATTCTAATGGGGAAGACAAAGAGTCCCTGCACATCACTATCCTCTGGACATGGCATGACCATCAAACATTGGACATGTGACTGAGACAATTGTGTGTTGGCTTTGATTCATTTTGTTTTCAATTTTCTTGCTAACTTGGAAATAGAGATTGGGGAGCTTTATTCATTAGTCCCAGCAAAAGCCAAGAGAGGACACTGTGCATGAGAGGAAGGGACTGATCCCTATAGAACACCAGACAGAAGGGAAAGAAAGAACAGATAAAGATGGGATGTAAAACCAACAAGAACAAGGAGGTGGTACCTGTGAGGCCAGTGGAGACCAGAATGTGAACGTGAGCGAACAGGTGAGAGGACAGCAGTGGGGCCAGCCCCGGGCAGTCCTTTGGGAAGAGTGCTCGCCGGAAAGGAAGGCTCCGTCAGTTGAAAGAAGGAAGGGTGAGAAGTGCTGGGTCAGGACTGGGCACTGGTGATTCCAGAGGACAGAGAAGAGGCAGTACAGACGTCACTCTAGAGCCTGAGGAGGAGTGAGGTGAGGAAACAGCGCAGGCAGGTGGGACAGGGCTGTAGGGCGAGGCCCGAGGCCAGAAGGGAGGCGGCGAGGAAGGAGGAGGCAGCGGAGATCCCTAGGGAGGGCAGCCTATGCGCTGGCGGGGACCGCGCGGCCCAGCAGTGGGGCCAGCCCCGGGCAGAGTCCGCGCCCGCTGCCCAACTGTCCCAGGGGCCGCTTCTGCACCGCGAGAGGCACCGCCTTCCGGGCTCTTGTGCTGAGCGGACGCGCCTGTCTCGTCTCTAGCTCAGGCGTGCTAAGCTCGCCACCCCCCGTCCCGTCCCCGCCCTGCGCAGCAGCCCTGCCACCTTCACTCAGCGCCGCTGCCGCCACTGTCGCCTTGCTCCGGTCCTGGACGCCGACCCCGAGATGCAGGACCTGGCTCTCAGCTGCGCGTCCGGGTTGCACTGTCCCCAAGCCTCGGGCCTCGGCTTTTAAACCCGCATTCCACTCCCTCCCTAACCCAGACGACGTCACCAAAGACGAAGAAGGGAACCGGAAAAGGGACGGGGGCGGGGCCAGGAGAGGGAAGGGCGGGGCCGAAGAGAGGCGGGGTGGGGCCAGGAAAGTGAGGGGCGGGGACGGAAAGGGGCGGGGCCCAGGGCGACCGGTCGCAGGCCAGGGGCACGTCCTACGGAAAGTCCTTTCTGCAGGGAAGACTTGGGTGCAAATTACTGAAGGGAAGTCTGCTGAGCCCGACCGGGGAAAGAAACCAGCCGGGGAGCCCGCGCACCCTGGGCCTCGCTGGAAGAAACGCAAGTTGCTTAGGGAAGAGAGTGCGAAGGCAGAGTGACGGGCTCCGATCGGGGTTAGGAGGGTCCGTGGGTCTCCCTGCCTCTGGTCTTACGTAGATGAGGGATTCTGTTAGAACCACAGTGTTTGTTCCCGGCACCCTCACTGATTAGCACGAGTCCCGGGCCCAGAAACAGAACCCAGACGTCCTAACTCCTGCTACCTGAGCCCTTCTTTTGATACGGGGACCTGGGCTGCCCCGGTGGTATAAGCTGCCCACCATTCTCCACAAAGTGACAGGAACAGACGCGGAGTCAGACGGGCTCAGAACATTCACTCTGTCCTCTGTCAGGAGCCCAGAGGCAGGGAGGGCTCCGGTGGGTTGATGCATCAGTTCATGATGTCATCGGAGATCCACCCTGACCCTCACCCCATAGTGCCAGCTCCATCTCAGGCTGGATGCATTTCATGTTGACATGATGATGTCCAGAGGAAGAGAATAGTTCCTTCCTCCACTTAATTCTTGAACCCCTCCAAGTCATCCATGAGGGCTGGAATTAATTTCTTCCAAATTCCTGTTAATGTTGATAGTTTGACCTCTTCCCATGAATCACAAATGTTGTTAATGGCATCTAAAGGTGAAACCTTCCTGGAAGGTTATCCATTTACTATGCCCAGATCCATCAGAAGAATATCTGTGGCAGCTATAACCTTAAGAAATTTATTTCTTAAATAAGAATACCTGAAAGTCAAAATTACTCCTTGAACCATGGACTGTAGAACTGTTGGGTTAACAGACATGAAAACAACATTAATCTCTTTGTACATCTCCATCAGAGTTTTTGAGTAATCAGGCGTATTGTAAATGAGCAGGAATATTTTTAAAAGAATTTTTTTTTCTGACCAGTGAGTCTCAACAGTGGGCTTTAAATGTTCAGTGAGTCATGCTGTAAACAGATGTGCTGTCTAGGCTTTGTGGGTCCATCAAGAGAGTACAGGAAATAGAATTAGCATAAGTCTTAAAGCCCTAGAATTTTTGGAATGGTAAATGAGCATTGGTTCCAACTTCAAGTCTTCAGCTGCATTTACCACTAACAAGAAAGTCAGCCCATCCTTTGGAATCATTGAAACCAGGCATTGACTTCTCCCTGACTGTGAAAGTCATAGATGGCATCTTCTTCCAACAGAAAACTGTTTTGTCTACACTGAAAATCTGTTATTTAGCATAGCCACCTTCATCAATGATCTTAGCTAGATCTTCTGGATAACTTGCTGCAGCCTCTCCATCGGCACTTACTGTTTCACCTTGTACTTTTATGTTATGGAGACGACTTCTTCCCTTAAACCTCATGAACCAACCTCTGATAGCTTCACACTTTCTTCTGAAGTTTCCTTACCTCTCTCAGCCTGTATAGGATTGAAGAGAGTAGGACCTTGGTCTGGAGTAGGCTTTGGCTTGAGGGAATGCTATGACTGTTTGATCTTCTACCCAGACCAAATTTTCTCCATAGCAGCAATAAGTCTGTTTTACTTACCTATAATTTGTGTGTTCACAGAGAAGCACTTTTAGTTTACTTCAAGAACATTTTCTTTACATTCACAATTTGGCTAACTGGTGGAAGAGGCCTAGTTTCTGCCCTGTCTTGAGGTTTTTTGTTTTTTTTTTTTTGAGTTGGAGTCTCACTCTGTCGCCCACACTGGAGTGCAGTGGCCGCTTCCGGCCACCGCAGCCTCGACCTGCTGGGCTCCGGCGATCCTTCCGCCTCAGCCTTCCAAGTAGCCGGAATTACAGGCATGCGCTACCACGCCCACCTGATTTTTTTTTAATTTATTGTAGAGATGAGGTCTCGCTGCCCAGGCGGGTCTTGAACCCGCGGGCTCAGGCAATCCACTCACCTCAGTCTCCCAAAGGCGCGGGATTACAGGCTGAGCCACCGAGCCCGGCTTGTCTTGAGTTTTGATATGCCTTCTTCACTAAGTTTACTCATGTCTTGCCTTTGATTTAAAGTGAGAGACATGTGACTCTCTTTTCCCTTGAACACTTAGAGGCTATTGTAAGCCTTCTTGGTTGACCTAATTTCGATATCATTCTGTCTCAAGTAATAGGAAGGCCTGAGGAGAGGGAGAGAGCAGTCAGAACACATATAACATTTATCGATTAAGTTTATCATCTAATATAGGTGCAGTTTGTGGTGTCCCAAAATAATTATAATGGCAACATCACAGATAACTGCTTGTAGACCACCATAACAGATGTATAATAATAATGAAAAAATTTGAAATGTTGCAAGAATTACCAAAATGTGACACAGAGACAGGATGTGAGCACATGCTGTTGAAAAAATGGTGCCAATAAACTTACTTAACACAGGTTGCCACAAAACTTCAATATGCAAAAAACACAATATCACAATAAAGCAAAGTACAATGAAATGAGGTCTTTTTTTAAAAAAAATAAGACAAGGAGGAACGAGTGGAGGGAGGAGGGCTGGAGGAAGGTTTGGAGAGGGGAGGGGGGACAAAGGACAAAGGGAGACTCTTAAAAGTAGCAAGAGATGTACAAGTGACCCTCAATAAACCCATGCATCTATGGGTACCAAGTCCATTCAGTGGAGGAAAAAAAATAGTATCTTCAATATATGATGCTGGTGCAACTGGATTTCCTCACGCAATAGTAAAGTTGGACCCTAATTCACACCATATGCAAAAAATAAAGCACAGCAAATGACATAAATATAAGTACTAAAATCATAAAATTCTTAGAAGAAAACGTAGGAGTAAATCTTTATGACCATTAGTTTGGCAATGGGTTCATAGATATGACACCAAAAGCCCAGGGAAAACAAACAAACAAACAAAAGATAGAAAAGATAAAATGGACTTCATTAAAATTTAGTGCTTTTGTGAATCAAATGACATTATCTGTAAAGTGAAAGACAACCCACAGAGTAAGAGAAGATATTTGCTAATCATCTATCTGATAATATCCAGAATATATAAAGAACTCCTACAACTCAACAGCATATAGACAACCCAATTAAATAATGGTCAAGAGACTTGAATAGACTTTCCTCCAAATAAGGTATACAAATGGCCAATAAGCACATGAAAAGATACTCAAAGTTGTTAGTCATTAGGGCAATGCAAACCAAAAACAACGAAATCAAAAAAATGGGGCGACTGCATTCCTGCTAGAATGACTATAACTTAGGGAAAAAGATAAAGGTAAATGTTGGTGAGAATGTGGAAAAATTGGAACCCTCTTACACTGCTAATGGTAAAATGGTAAAAATGGTAAAATGGTGCAGCCACTGTGGAATACATTTTGGCTATTCCTCAAAAAGCTAAATATAGAATTACCACAAAGCTGATGTAATACTAGTAATTCTACTCCAAGGTACATGCTTGTAACACAGTAACCCCAGATCTGAAAGGGCTTGCACATAATGTTTACCTATTCCAAAGAAGTCACCTAGAGGTCCAAGAGAGAGACATTATCTTATTAGAATTTACGGGAGGCACTGATGGTAGCTGGTCAGTGAAGAATCAGTACCTCAGGACAGTACAGAAAGCAGTTTTATAATCATGCAAGTTAATTATTCAAATGACAGTGTGATGTTTACAATTACATTGATTAAGGGTGATGCCTACATTACTTTCAGCATTGCTTGGTCACCTGCATGCTAGGACCCATTACTGAGACCATGCATATTCTTCAGAGACAAGCCTTGGCCAGAGGTTGCTTCCTGAGGGAAGGGGAGGAAAAAACCAGATATGGGGGAAAAGAGTCTATGTCTGGACAACACCTTACACTCCATCCCAACATTGACCTTTTCCACCCTTAAAATCTTCGGGTAACTTTGATCTTCCACAAGTTCCCTGAGTCAAAAATACAAGTCACACATGGCGTCCATATCCCACATATGTAATAAAGGGCACAGGATCTGAAAAGCAAAATTGCTACCATAATTATGACAACTATGATTACTTTTGAAAAAAAAAAGTTTAGAGATCCAAACCACTTGGAAAGGGGTCTTGGGCTAAAGGTGACATGATAGATACTTGAGAAGGACAAGCAAAGATTAAGTCCCACTTATCAGGTAAAACACTAGTAACATTCCTGTCCTGTGACAACACCATGATACTTTGGGGAGGCCTCCTCAGCCCGAAATACCATGCCCTCTCAGGCCTAGGAGCTGTCTTGTCCATGACATGAAAGGATAGTGGAGGGTGTTCTAAACTGCCACATAGAAATGACAATAGTCCCCTTTCTGAGTAAATGAGACCTGGTGTTATTACACTTAACAGTATTTGTCTATTTTCCCTTAAGCGTAGGATGAGTATCTAAATTATGATCTATCTTCTCTCCCTGGGAGCCAGCAGGGAGTACCAAAAGGGTTCAGGTTGAACTTCTTAGGGCCAGTAGAGAATATTCTTTCCAGGTACTATGTCCTGGGGGTTGGGCAGCACAAGGTTATTTTTGCTTCCCCAGTTTGGTCGCAATGATGATTCTTGCATCCAGATTTGCATCCTCAGGGGCATCGCCCATGGTTGTGTCAGCATGTCTAGGAATACTGGACAGTCAGCATTGGGTCTCTCATTAAGAGCATGGATTGCTTCATGCAATCAGGCCATCCACCCCTGCAAT